TGTTCTTATCCTCCTTTGGAATGTCCATCTTCAAGGGAATAACTTCCTCCTTCAAGGTTGTCATAAACTCTGTCTCACTCTTCTTGAGACCTTTGTCGAGTTGCATAGTTGATAGCATTTGGGATCCAATCATATTTCTCTTCAAGGGTACAATGTGAATTATTGAACCCTTGGTGATACGCATGGTATCGTCTCTCTCAAATGACCAGGGTCGTACATTTTCTAAAAAATCCATTCCCAATACCATATGATAGTCATCCATATGCACCACTATCAAGTCTATGGTGCCTTCCCATTCTGCTATCTTAAGAGGTACTCCATATGCAACACCAATGATAGGCTTGGATAAAGAGTTGATGACTTTCAACCGGCCTGGATTTTTGATGTATTTGATGCCCAACATTTTAGCTTCATCTTTAGCAAGGAAATTATGGGATGCACCTGTATCTACTAAAGCCTTGGTGTATCCTCCATTTACCCTGGCATCCACGAACATTAGCCTTCCTCTTTTAATCTTATTCTCTTCTATAGCACATAATGCCTCAGCATCCCATTCATCCTCTACTTCCTTTTTGGAAGTTACTACATTGCTTTCCACAGACTTTTTCTTTGACCAACAATCCTTGGACATGTGGCCCCACTTTCCACAGTTGTTGCAGTTGCCTTCGAACCTCCTCCCCCGAGAACTCTTAATGTCGGTCTTTTGAGATCTCCATGGTTGTGAGGTTCCTTGCTGACTCTTCCCTTTGTCAGCATTTTTGTATCCTTCTTTAGAAGGTGGCTTGAAATTCCTCCAACTTTTACTTGTGTAGAGTGCTTCTTCTTCACTCTTCAGCGTGATGCCTCCCATTTGCTTAGCCATAGCTTCTTGGCTGGCCAGCAAATTCTCAAACTCTACAAGTGATGGTTGAACGGGCCATCCTTGTACAGCAGTAATGAAGCTTCTATATTCTGGCCTGAGTCCATGGATGATGATCCTTTTCATTCGAGCTTCTGCAATGATGGATTGTGGATCTAGTTCAGTAATCTCCCGACATATCGACTTGACCTTGTGGAAATATTGAGCAATCGTCATGTCACGTTGTGAGATTGATAATAGCTCGTTCTCCAAAAGTTGTAGTCTCGTATCATTCTTCTTTGAGAAAAGCGTCACAAACGTGTCCCAAGCTTCTTTCGGGGTGTTCTCATCCCGAATATGCTCCAACATCTCTTCTTCAATTGTGGTCTTCAAGGCAAACATTGCTTTGCTTGCTTTGATTTTCCATTTGCGTAAAGCACCATTAACGTCTTCCTCTGGTGGCGTAGTTTCGCTTCCACCAACGACCTCCCATAGATCTTGTCCTTGTAAGTAGGACTTCATACATGTTTCCCACGTTTTGTAGTTGTTGTTGTTGAGTTTCTTGATTCCTCCGATGACTTGGAGATCACCCATCGTGTTGGCAGTACCTCGGTAATACCAAAGAAGCTAGTTTTGATACTAAACTTGCAGAGTCACAAACTACTCACGATACAATGAGAATCACTCGTTCTCACTATCAAGAAACCTTGCTCTGATACCAGATTGTTGAACACGACTCTTTTATATGGGAAACAACAAGACTTTTATTAAGACACTTAAGGAGAACTTACACTTTGTGAGACTACTACACACTTTGCTTTCTTGGATGGTTTGGATGTTGGATTGTTTGGAGCAAATGAGATCCACACCTATTTATAGGTGTTTCCACCTCCTTATAGGAAGTTTCTAGATCTACATACATTCATGGCTATTCTAGAACTATCTACCATATTCTATATCTATTACAAGCTTTTATATGTTTCTAGAATGTTCTATAATGTCCTAGATAAGTATAGACATTCTTGTGTCTTCCATAGTGTTCTAGATTGTTCCATAGCCTTCCAGGGTCTTCCATCTCATTCTAGAGTATTCTAGAATCTTCCAGCATCTTCAACACTCCTCCATAGTATTCCATAATGTTCTAGAATCTTCCAGATCATTCTAGAACATGCTAACTTCTTCTAGACAATAACATGATTCTATTGGGCTAGTGATGACCTTCAACATACAATACAAGGGGTTGTTAGTCCATAGGATATATGATTAGTTGTTAGGTATCATCAGTATCAATTTAAGTTTGAATTTTTGGTATCATCTATATAAATAGTGTTTGTTAGGTATAATCTGTTCCAATTGAAGCTTGAATTTGCCTTAATTTGCCTTTATGGCGAGAAGAAACTATTAGCTAAGAGTAAAGCGTGAGATGTCTTAATTGGCCTTTAATTGGTGTCATATAGACGCAAACTCAGAGTGGTTTGGTGCCTCCAAACAGTTGCTATTTTATTTTTTAAAAACCAAAAATTCATTACACTAAAAATAAAAAATATAACATCTAAATTATAACGATCATAACATTAAAATTAAAAAACATAAATTACATTAAAAACCATAACATGAAATTAAAATTATCAAAATACAAGAAATTAAAAATTACTAAAACAAATGCTTCAATCTGAAAAAACTTGAGCATCGGCTGCCTACGTGTTTCATGTTGATATCGCTATGATTAATTCTCCATATTTGTTCTGTCAAATCTTTGCAAAAGCGGTGATAGTATGTTATTTTTATGTAACACCTTTCTTATGGCATTGTAGTGTACGGTGTTCTATGGCACTTTTGAGGAGAGGAGACACTTTTTTCTTTTGATATACTTACATGTTCTACGTATTGCATGTATATATAATGAATGCAAAATTTTCCTTATTCTCGTGGACATGTCAGAATTCATAGTTCCAACAAATATAATTGTTAAAAACGGTTAGGTTTCGTTTAGTTACGGAAAAATAATTTTCATTTTCCGCTTTTTGTTTTCCTTTTTCGATTTTCGTTTTCCGTTTTTATTTTTCATTGAAAAATTTAGAAAACGCGTTTAGTTAAACTTATTCATTTTTCATTTTCAGTTTTAGAAAATTAGAAAACTTGTTTAGATGTGTACGTATGTGTATTTATGGGGGTAGGTGTGGGTTTGTGTGTGTGGGTGTGTGTTTGTGAGGGCGGGAGTGGGGGTAGGTGTGGGTGTGTGTGTGGGTGTGTGTTTGTGGGGGTCTGGATGGGTATGTATGTGAGTATGTTTGTGTGTGGGTGTGTGTGTGGATATGTATGTGTGTTTGTGGGTTGGTGTATGTGTGTGTGAGTGGGTATGTATGTGTATGTGTATGTGTGTTTGTGGGTGTGTTGGTCGGTATGTATGTTTGTGTGTCTGTGGGTGGGTGTGTCTGTGTGTCTATGTATGTGTGTGTGTTTGTGGGTTGGTGTGTGTGTGTGTGCGGGTGGGTGGGTGTGTGTGGGTGAGTATGTATGTGTGTATAGGTGGGGGTGTTAAGGTGGGGGTAGCTAGAGGTGGATAGGGTAAGAGTGGGTGTATGTTTATATTTTAGAAAAATTTTGAAATTAGAAAAATGTGGAAAACAATGATTATCAGTTTTCTAAAAAATTTCAACTTCTTTGTAATTTTAGAAAGCGGAAAATTTTCATTTTCTGTGAAAAATTTAGAAAAATAGACGAACCAAACACGTTTTCAAAATTTTCATTTTTCTTGGAAATTTTTTCCGGAAAACCGCCCATCTTTCCGCAACAAAACGCACTCTTAGGTTGCGTTTAGTTACGGAAAAACAATTTTCATTTTCCGTTTTTTGTTTTCCCTTTTCGATTTTCATTTTCCGTTTTCATTTTCCATTGAAAATTTTTGAAAACGCGTTTAGTTAAACTTATACATTTTTCATTTCAGTTTTAGAAAATTAAAAAACGTGTTTGGATGTGTATTTTTTCTATCGGTTTTCATTTTTAGAAAATGGTAGCGGTGGTAGGGTGTGGGTGAGGGCGGTGACGGTAGCGGGTCGGCGGCGGCAATTGTGTTAGTGGTGGTGATGGCAGCGGCAGCGGTGGTAGTGGTGCTAGTGACGGGTTAGTGGTTGTGGTGGTGGTGATGGTGATGGTAGGTCGGTAATTGTGGTGGTGGTGGTGAGTGAGTGGGGGTGCGAGTGTGTGTATGTGTGTGTTTGTGGGGGTAAGTGTGGGTTTGTGTGTGTGTGGGTGTGTGTGTCTATGAGGGTGTAGATAGGTGTGAGTTTGTGTGTGTGTGTATGTGGGTGTGTTTGAGGGGGTGTGGGTATGTATGTGTGTGTGTGTTTGTGGGTGGGTGTGTGGGTGGGTATGTATGTGTGTGTGTTTGTGGGTGTGTGTGTGGGTATGTATGTTTGTGTGTGTGTTTGTGGGTTGGTGTGTGTGTGTGTGTGTGTGTGCGGATGGGTGTGTGTGGTGGTGGGTATGTATGTGTGTGTGGGTAGGGTGTTAAGGTGGGGTAGGTAGAGGTGGATGGGGTGGGAGTGAGTGTGTGTTTATATTTTAGAAAAATTTTGAAATTAAAAAAATATGGAAAACAATGATTATCAGTTTTCCAAATATTTCCAACCTCTTTGTAAATTTAGAAAACAGAAAATTTTCATTTTCCGTGAAAAATTTAGAAAAATAGATCAACTAAGCGCGTTTTCAAAATTCTTATTTTTCTTGAAAAATTTTCCGGAAAACAACCCATTTTTCCACAACTAAATGCAACTTTAGCTTTTTAAAATTAAAGATTTTTAAAATTTATTTCTTTAAAGCCATTTTCGGCTCTTTTAAGCCTTTGGCAACAATATTTTGCCATTTTCGACGCCAACCTTTGCCACCAATACAGGGCGGTATTTGCCGCCAACAAAATCTCATGTCGGATGTGATTGGTACAAATACTTCCACACGGCTTAGCCATCGTGCAAACAGTCACTAAAAGAAACTTAATTCTTTTTGAATTTTTTCTTATTTTTTTATTAGCTAATGAACAGATCATTCATGGCACCACTTGACTAGGTAATATTGTATTTGTTATATAGATACATCAACGAGGTAGCTACTAAGCTACACGAATCTAAAAAAAGTTAAGATTAACTGAATTCGACAAAAGCAAATGGAGGATCAAACCTTCTTTCTCTTTCTCTTGCTATCTTGTCTTTTCGCATTCATATATACCTTCACCAATATCCGACGACGCCACTCACGGCTTCCACCGGGACCATATCCTTTTCCAATCATCGGAAACCTCTTAAAAGTCGGCAACAACCCCCACCGCTCCCTCGCCATACTCTCTAAACAATATGGTCCTTTGATGTCACTTAAGCTTGGAAGCAAGACAACCATAGTCCTTTCATCACCTGAAATCGCCAAAGAATTCTTTCACACACATGATATCTCATTCTCTAGCCGATCGGTTCCTGACACTGTCCGAGCAGCTGACCACCATAAATTTTCAATGGTGTGGCTGCCAGCCGGAGATCAATGGAGAAAGTTAAGAAAAATAACTAAGGAATATATGTTCTCTGTGCAACAGCTAGATGCAAGTGAACTCCTCAGGCAGGAGAAGGTATGAGAGCACGATGTGTTTTGAATGTATGTAGTATTCTCGTTTGGTTAAAACTTAAAATTAAAACTATTCATGGTTTGTAACTTATTCAAATGCACATATAATCATAGTATATATGAAGACTTTATTAAGTATTGAGAAAAAACTAGATGGTAACATATAAGACAATGAGTAATCCTTTTATTACAAATTCCTTTTAGAAAATGAAACTTTATTGTTCTTCTACACAAATTCCTTTTAGAAAATGAAACTTTATTGTTCTTCTACGTTGAGCATGGGTTAGGCTAGTAGTGATCCTAACAAATGATATAAGAGCTGATCGTGTATTTACTTATCCAAAGTAATTGTTTCAAACTGCCAAAGAGCCTTCCCCTATGTCATTAGCAGTTGTGAAAGAGACAAAGATGTCTCATTCTCAAGAATTCTTTACAGATATAGAGATAATTTTTTATTTTGTAACAAGAAATCAGTTAGACTATAATATAAATTCATTTTTTCAGTGTTATAGAATAGAAGTAGTAATATTAGTAGTTTAGTACATATATTTTTCAAGGAACAATAGGACACCGTATGTTGAAGCATTTAAGATTCAAATTAACCTAAGCTTGGGTCGACTTTATTTGAAGTGCTTAACTCTATATTGATAATTGCAAGACTATATTTAGTTTTTAGTATTTATATTATTGCTGTTTATTTGTTATGAAAGTTGCTTATTATTATTAAGAGAAACTAATGTGATGCGTATCCGGAATAAATGTATCATCTCCATTTAACCTCGGCTCATATATTTTAGGTTCAGGAATTTCTCAACCATGTCAATCGATGTTGTACAAATGAAGAGGTTGTGAATATAGGTGCAGCTGCATTTACCACGACTCTTAACATTCTCTCCAACTTCATGTTTTCTAGGGATTTTGCTCAATACGATTCCATGTCATCACAAGAATTCAAGGACGCGGTATGCGGTTTGATGAAACTTGGCGGAAAGCCGAATCTACCTGACTTTTTTCCGATACTTAAATCATTGGATCTACAAGGGTTAAGACGAGAGGGAACTGTTTATGCTAACAAGTTACTAAGTATTTTTGATAAGGTCATCAATGAAAGGTTGCAAAGTAGATCGACTTCATCTTCACATAATGGCGATTCAACCACAAAGAAGGATGTTTTAGACTTGCTCCTCAACCTGAACCAGAACGATGAATCAGAATTTAGTCTAAATGATATCAGACATCTATTTCTAGTAAGTAACTCCTTAAATGATGAATTATCAAATGGACAATGTGATGGAATAAGGAAGGTAATGAGTCATTAATTCCGTGGTGGAATGAAAAAGAATGATCCACTCCATCTATTATCAGAAATGTTTTTTTTCCATTCCACTAGAATGAAAATCCATTGCATGATTCCATCATTACTACAAGAAAATGTATTTTTAGAGATGACAAAATTCGTCCATGTAGGTCTTCGAAAAGTTGTCCGTAAAGATTGTCCTGATTCCCTCATGCATACTAAAAACTTCCGGAAATTGTCTCCTATAAATAACTGTTTCATAAATTATATTATAGGCATTGTTTATCGCGGGAACTGACACAACATCCATTACATTGGAATGGGTAATGTCCGAGCTCATTCGTAACCCAGAGAAAATGGAAATAGCACGATTTGAGGTCATGAAACACATGCAAAACAACAAAAGGAGCATACAAGAATCTGACATCTCTCAACTCACTTACCTACAAGCTGTGATAAAAGAAACTCTTAGATTGCATCCACCGGGGCCCTTTCTTATCCCTCACCAAGCCATAAACGATATTGAAATCAAAGGTTATATGGTGCCTAAAAATGCACAAATCTTGTGTAACATTTGGGCAATGGGTCAAGACCCAAACATCTGGTTAGACCCACAAGTGTTTAGGCCAGAGAGGTTTTTGGACGTCGAGATCGACTACAAAGGCCATAATTTCGAGCTCATTCCATTTGGTACAGGGAGGAGGATTTGTCCGGGATTAAATCTTGCGAATAGAATGTTACATGTAATGTTGTCATCTTTGATTCACAAGTTTGATTGGAAGGTTGTAGGGTACACAAGACCACAAGATATTGATATGGGGGAAAAGTTTGGGATCACTTTGCAAAAAACTATACCACTCATGGCTATCCCAGTGAAACGGTGAGAGAATTTTTAAGTCGTTATACTTGTATTCTTGAATAAAAGTTTCAAATGCAATATGGTATTTTTATTTGAAAACTTTGGTACTTGTATTCTTAAATAAAGTTTTAAACTACTGGCCTTGCAAATTGCAATAATCCAAAAACTGCGTATGATAGAAGATGACTTCTTCTATGACTACTTGCAACAACAACTGGCGATCCAATATTTTTAGTTGATCATCCAATATGTAAACGACGTGGAGGAGGCTGAGGTGGCCTCCCTAAACGTCGTGCTCGTCACAGGAATATCATCATAGAGACATGCCTTGTTGTGTTCGTCCAGATTGGAACGCTTAGCAATGCCGAAGGGAGAGAAGGAAATGGTGGAGATGACTGGATTAAAATATCCCAATTATCTTTCTATCGTTCAAAAAATACCAATAAAATTATCGTTTTGTTTAAAAAACCAAATTAAGTTACCGGGTTGTTCACTTGTAGTTAAGAGGAACCGACAGCTGTGGGTTAAAACCTTTTGTTAACCGGGAAATGGAAGTCAATCAAAATAAAAGATGACATGGCTTTGTTTTGTTGATTACGTGGAATTAAAAACACCCACCCTCACTAAATTACCTGGCGATCTAGGGTTTTCACTCACAGGAGGTAAAATCGATTTCTACACAAAGGGAAATCGACGAGTGCAACAAGCATGTCAACAGATGTTGACTCCCTCACCATTGATGTCTACCACCAAGCTGTATTTTGTTATAATCCCTTCGTTTACTTCCATCATAAGAAAGTATCTGTTACAAATCTAGACATATGTAACATGGATTTCAAGGTCTTCAAGACCTATCTAGACATATGTAACATGGATGTGTATTACTGTTCTAAAAATCGGTCCCTCGTGGATGGGTTGAGGGAGCTCAGAGATGAAGAAGCTATTGATAAGGTAAAAAAAACATCTTATTCACGATCCATTTTGCCCCTGTAATTCAAACTATGTAAAAATAGACCCTTTTGCCCCTGCTATTAAACCTGTTCTTAAAACTGTGTAAAATTGGACCATTTTTTTCCCTGCAATTATTTTATCAGTGGGGACATCTGTTTTGGTTAATGGTTAACCAGTCGCATAAACATCTGTTGTGTTGTTCATTAAACTGTAAAAGGAAGCTGTGTGGCCTTTGCTTTCTACCAGAAAACCTTTAAAAAAACAAGCTGTGAGACTTGAAAATACGCGAGGGGAACCCACAACCACAAGGGTAAGAATCCTCAAAAACCTTATTTTTCTTCCAAATATTGGAGCTTGAGCTTGAAGCCATCACAGACCAAAAGAACCAAAAGAAGAAGAAGATGAACCACTAGAAGAAACGCAGGAGAAGAAAAAGTGGTCTTCCTCATTTTAGCCCTAATCCCATTTTAAATAAAGATGCCATGTCACCCACGTCCATGTCATCAATTGTTTTGCCAACTCGTCAATTTTTAATCGAACTCCTACTTCACCTACAAGAACCGGTTACCACCCGGTGTTATTTGAACAATAGACAATCTTTGTTGGTGTTTCTTGTACGATGTCGTACTTGGTTGTTATTTCTTGAACGATCAAAAGATAATTGGGGTATTTTGAACGATTTGTAAACTTCATTGGTTTTTTAAGTCATTATCCCAATAGTAATATTACAAAAAAAGAAAAAAAAAAACCTCATTTTTCCTCTTTATAACTAAAACTCTATTCATTTTTTACACACTACTATCATTTTTCTATCTTTATACAATTAGCTATATATTAAAAAAATTTCCAACATATTTTTATTAACCTATGATTATATTTGAATCATCTTGCGAAGATTATGATATGCATAATGTACGAGTGTTATATTAATGAACTACAAGAAGAAAATAAAACCGCTCTATGAACATGAACTGTGCGGATAAAAACAAAAATCGTGCGGTTGTACATAAACATGTATATCATGATTACTTTGTAATTGAAAATGTATACAACTCATATGCTTTCAACGAATATTTCATTTGAGTAGGAACTTGTTTCTACCGATAGTAATGCCTTGTAGAACATGTATCATTTCTTTCATATTTATACCTATTATATATATATATATATATATATATATATATATATATATATATATATATATATAATATGTGTGTGTGTGTCTTTAATAGGTATAAATATGTACTCATTTTGTATGTGTGTGTGTGTGTGTATATATATATATATATATATATATATATATATATATTTACAAAACAAATACATATATATACCTATTAAATATATCTTTAGGCATTGTTTCTTTCAATTAAAATATGATGTCAAAGGTAGGCTAAGATTCACTCCATTGCAGAAATGTACTGCATCAATTTGGTTGATGCAAGGAAATGTTTTTATAGATTGGAAAATTGTGTCGTTGAATTATTTAGTGATATTTATTTGTGGAAATCTTCGTTGACCGATGTTCAATAAGTAAATGCAACACGTGAAGACAGATATGGTTTTTCCAGCATGTTCGGAAGCACTGACTACATGTATTGAGATTGGGAAATAGGCCACATGGGTGGAGAGGGGAGTATGAATGTGGTGATCATAGAGCACCCGTGTTGATATTAGAAGTTGTTTCTTCACATGAGGACCGGCTGAACACTTCTAGAATCCCAACAACAGTAATAACCCCAGATGCTTAAAATTAAATCACACTCAAATCTTGAAGTCCAAAGGATGGATGTTCCAACCAAACTTGAGCAACAAACCACTGCCCTCGACACCCCCAAAAGCCAATCCAAGCATAATTGCTAAAACCATTGAATCTTAGCGATACTGGATAACTAACCCACTGAATCCTTACCATAAACCTTCCAAACAATGCCCCTGAACGGATCTCGATTACAAACCAATATAACACCGAACACTCCAAACTTGCTATAAGAGAAACAACCCTTCACTAAAACACTAATGATTCCTGGCATGCAAATGAAATATAACATTTCTTGAAGATATAACCCAAACATAAGCAAAGAAATAAACCATAGATATGCTTACCTATACAGATGTAAGAGTCCAAATAATAACATATAGATAAAACTGAAAAGAAAGCAAAAGATACATACCTGCAACATCGCCTCCTGCAGTCCTAACCTCCCCTGCCTGACACTGCAAAGCCCGACTCCTCTTCATTGGGGATATTGCCTTACCCACTCGTCCATTGGTGATCCTCAAAGTAGTCGGAGTAGGCGCACTTACTGCTCCTCCCCTCAACATCGAGTAGTAGGCCCTCTTGTGGCCCACTTTATCATAGTGACAACATAACAGTCTTGCCCCCTGAGGATAATCCCTTCTGACATGACCAACCATGCCATAATTATAGTAGCCTAAACCCCTGGAACGACATCCTCCATCATGCAGTTTCCCATACGTGTTGCACTGACTCCGGCCCTGCTGGCCTCCCAAATGACGATCAGAAGTCTTAGGTCCCTTCTCGGGACCCTTCACTATATGCACCTGATCTAGCCTCCTCTTCCTGAGGTGCTCCAAATAGAACTCCCGCTCTTGGGCTCTAGAAATCATATCATTCAGGGTCTCGCACCGTGGAATACTCACAAACTCCATGATATCATCTCGAAGCATATCATGATACCTCACCTTCTTCATTTCCTCATATGTTGCATAATGTGGTACCAATAAAGGCCCCTCCCAGAACATCGCAGTGATCTTAGTACTTTGGCGAGGTCTAGAAACTCTCGCGCCAACTACTGCACCGTCAGTGCGAACTCATCTTAGAACCTGGTCGAGAAGTCTTCCCATAACATAGCATCAACAACAATATCACCCAACTCACTACCAACCTCTTCCCAACAATCATGTTCCGTGTCCTTCAATAGGCAAGAAGCATATCTGACCTTTGCCTCCTCGAGGAAGAAACTCGTCCTGAATGTCACAACTAGCATTCTTGCCATGAAATTCTATTCTCATGAAACATCATCTATTGTAAAACTTGTACTCTAAGTGAATATCATGTTATATGCTAAACATGAAATCATCCATTTGAATCCAAAATCTTGAATGAGGTCAAAACCTAATACAATACCTCTCATATGTTCAACTATAGGTTGAAAACCCTAAAAATCCTTGTTCAAGATCATTACGGACTAGGATTCTCCTATAGGGCGTAATGCACCAATAAACTTCCAATTTAACTACTTTGGGCCTAGGATCCCTATTTGGACCCACATTCATGAAACTATAGCATTTTAGGCCAGTTAGGCCTAAAATGAATCATTATTACCTCTAATGCACCATGATGGGCCTTAAATGATTTAATAGCCCTAATGAGCCATAACTCCATTCCTTTTATTTCACTGGACCGTGAACCCTTATAAGGTCCCAATGGGCCGAGAATCATCCATTTAGGCATCATAATATCGAAATCAAGCATGAAAGGCCCAAACTACTTCTCCTTTTCTTCTATTTTCCCTCTCTCTTAGACCAACAACAACAACAACAACAAAAGAGAGAACATTTCATGGAAATAGGAGGTGACACCTCATCTTTACCCATAGGATCTCCATGTTAATTACCTCCCATGTATCTAAACACTTACACCTTAATACTCCATGCGTTAACCAATTTTCATCTCTACCTCTCTTTTCTCTTTACTCTCGGCTGAAACACACACGCACACACATTTCCACTTTCAAACTCTCCAAAAATTCTCTGAAGAAATCCCTTATTCTCCTCAAAATTTCATGACTTGGTGGGTGATTTCAAGAGTGTACATCAAGGTTTCAACCTCTTGGTAAGTCATCATCTCATACAAGTTGCTACCTTCCATTTTAATGCTAAGAACTCCTTCTTACAATAGCTTCATCTCATGTTCCTAGAATTAACTAAGTTTGAAAACTTCTTCCAAGGAAGCACTTAAGGCCGAAAACCACCTCATCTCCACTCAAATCTTCATCAAAATTGAATCCAAACCTCAAGTGAGTTCATACCCCCCTTTAATTTCGATTTTATATGATTTTGGGGGAGAATACAAGTTGATATGTGATAAATCTAAGTGTTATGCATGTTATGTGTGTATTTCTTGAGTTAAGATGTGATTATGTGTTAAAACTCTAAAGTTCTCAAAAATTTCTAACCAAAGGTAGTGTTATTTACAAACTAAAACACCTCATACAACTTACTATATAGATAAATGCATTATTCATGGGAGGGTTCATAAGAAACTAAACAAAATCTTGAAAAAGGACCATTTTTGACAAATAGGCAAAAAGTTGAGGTTTTCAAGTTATTTTCGGTTTTTAGAAGGACTAAAAGAGTCATTTTATTTCAAAATGGGTCTTAATGATATTCATGATTTCAAAAGGGCCAAAAGTGAAATTTTCGCATAATGGTCCATATTATAGGCCATTACGGTTTCTTGGGCTTAATGCATAAAAACCTTGATTTTTATGGAGTAAATTGTCACTTAATACAAATTTTGAGCTTCAAATGTAAATCTTTGGATTTATGGGCCGAAAATGCCATTCTTTTTAAAAATGGGTTAAAAATGTTATTTTAATAAAGATTGGGCCGAAGTTGTTATACTTATAAAAAATGGGCTAAAAATGTAAATTCTTATAATAATGGGCCAAAAATATCAATATATTCATATTTGGTCTAAAAATGTCAATTTATATATATATATATATATATATATATATATATATATATATATGGGCCGAAAATGAAGTTTCTAATAAAAATGGGCCGCAAATGTCATTTTATTAAGAATTAAGCCCATAAAATGAAATGTTTTAAGTCTAAAGGGATTGAGGGTGTTAAATTTTCCAAAAAGGTGACTAAAATTGTGTAATTTCAGTCTAATGGGCCAAAAATGTCTCTATTACATAAATTTGACCTTTTTGTGTGCAAAAACAAAAACGAAATAACGGCAAATGGACGGAATACACCGATAACATATTATTGGGACTAATACTCTCGTTACATGGTTAATGAGCCTTAGGGATCCATTTAAGTGTATATTGGGCCTAATATTTCCATGACATTTTTATTGGGCCTTTGTGGTCCATATATATATTAACTTGGGCCTGAGCTATGGATTACATGTTTATTGGGCCATAATGGTTCATTTACATGCCTATTGGGCCTGAATTACCATTTTACATGCTTATTGGGCCTTCGTGGTCCATCCATATGCTAATTGGGCTTGCATTAAAAATCATGTGTTTTGTGAGCCTTAAATTGTCCCTTACATATCTATTGGACTTCATACAATCACTTACATACTTTCGA